TAAGTCACAGATACACAATAAAAAAAGATTTCCACGGGCGATGGTGGCACACGCCTTTAATTCCAGCACTCGGGAAGCAAAGCCAGGCGGATCTCTGTGAGTTTGAGGCCAACCTGGTCTACAGAGAGAGCTCCAGGACAGGCACCAAAACTATACAGAGAAACCCTGTCTCGAAAAACCAAAAACAAACAAACAAACAAAAAACAACTTAAAAAAAAGATAGATTTCCACGATGCAAATAGGAACAATAGTGTTATAGCTTAAACTGAGTTAGCATTTTCATATCTTTCAAAACATTTACAATAACCCATAATCTAAAACAACTGTAGAATTATATTGTTATAAATGAATTAGAATAAAAGCAAGGCAAGTCAGGTGGTGGTGGTGCACGCCTTTAATCCCAGCACTTGGGAGGCAGAGGCAGGTGGATCTCAGTGAGTTCCAGGCCAGCCTGGTCTACAAAATGAGTTCCAGGACAGCCAGGACTGTTACACAGAGAAACCCTGTCTCAAAAAACCAAAAAAAAAAAAAAAGCAACACCTCTTCTTGAAATAAGGTCTCAATATGTAGCCCTGGCTGGTCTGGAACTCACAAAAGGCCACCTATCTTTGCCTCCAAGTGCTGGGATTAAAGATGTGTAGATCACACCTGGCCAGAAAGTTATTTGAAAACAAAAATAATTTTTTTTTAAATTTTCTTTTTGCAGTACTGGGAATTGAACCCACAGTTTAGAACATCCCAGGCAAACACTCTGTCCTTTATGTTTTAAAAGTCTGTAAAATTTAGAAGGCTGAACTCATGAACCATAAAACTGAACACAACACTGGGTACACATGATTACTACACATACTCACTAACAAAATTTACTTGGAGCCAATGTAATTCTGCCCAGAACTAGGAAATGGTCAATTCTAAGACTATAACTACTTTAAACTAGAGAAGTGTCTTTCAACAGAAATACTGCTTGGCTCAAACAAAACTGATAAACAACTTTCTCTTTTCTCTAATGATATGTCACTAATTCCTTCATTACCAAACTTCACTTCACAAGTGCTTGCAACACTCACCTGAGTGGAACAGGTGACTGGCGTATCATGAGGAACAATTTCCTCACAGCTGAATTAACAAAAGCAACACTATTCCTGCTATGGTTTTCAGACCATCTCTAAAATACTAAAAAGCAAAAAAAGGGTTCAACACAAAAGCAGTGCAAAGGATAAATGAACAACAATAAAAAAATAAAAACAATGAAAGTCTTACCCCAGACTTTGTAAATAACCACCTGGAGATTAAAGTTAGGGTTAAGGTGCATCCATTAAATTTATGTTGGCAAGTACTTTTATATGAGCTGAGTAGTTAAATCACTTAGGAACTTGGCTTCAATAGAAAACAGCATTCAAGGAAACCTTTTCTTTCCCAGGAATAACAAAAATAATAAAGTCAGTGGGTGTTCGTAGACTATTCTGACATGACCATTCTTGCTATCTCTTACACATGTCTGCTGTGACAAGCAGTTTATAATGTATCCTAACTATATTTATTATGGCCAGAATGCTACAGAAAATATTTAAGCATACTGATACTATGCCAAGCCACCTAAGAAACAAGTTGCACCCCTCCTTGTTGTTGTTGTTTTGTTTTTTGAGATAGGGTCTCTGTATTTAGCTTTGGCAGGCTAGGATTTGATATGTACATCAGGTTAACCTTGAATGCACAGAGAATTGCTTGTCTCTACCTTCTAAGTGCTGGGATTAAAGACAAAGTCACTATGTCTAGCTGTTAAAACTTCTTTTTTTGTTGTTGGGCCGTGGTGGCACACACCTTTGATCCCAGCACTTTGGAGGCAGAGCCAGGCAGATCTCTGTGAGTTTGAGGCAAGCCTGGGCTATAGACTGAGATCCAGGATAGGCACCAAAACTACACAGAGAAACCCTGTCTCAGAAAAAAAAAATAATAATAAAACTTTTTTTTTTAAATGGCTGGGGAGAGGCCTGGAGAAATGGATCAGCAGTTAAGATGACATAAGCACATATTGCTTTTGAGAACTAGAGTTCAGTTCCCAGCATTCACACTGGATGGCTCACAACCACATGTAATTCTAGTTCTAGGTGGATCTGACACCTCTGGCCTCTATGGGAACCTGTACTTGTATATACATAACTACACACATACACATAATTAAAATTTAAAAATATGTATTTACAAAAGTAGCTGGGCCACTTGGGAGTAAGAGGCAGGTGGATCTCTGTGAGTTGGAGGCTAGCCTGATCTACAGAGAGTTCCAGGACAGTCAGGGCTGTTACACAGAGAAACCCTGACTTGAAAAAAACAACAACAAAACAAAAACAAAAAGTCTGGGAATACATAGCTCACTGGTGGACTGTGTGTCTAGCACAGGCCAGCTCCTGCTTTCACACCTTGGTAGTATTGGAAAAACAACAATAATAATTTTCTTTTATTGTTTAGGAAGATTGAGATTTTTTTCACTTGTAATTCAACTATTATTCTATATGCAGATAATTTGTAACTTGCAGATGCATCAAGTATTAGATATTGTTAATAAAAATCAGTTTTGAAGTAGTTTGCTTTTAAAGACACAAAGCAAAAGCATCTAGTTCACACTGCTGATTTGTATTTTATCCCTTCAGATTAATCTCTATTCTTTGCTAACATTCACTTATGGGCAAAGCCCTTTCTGTTTCTGCTTAATTTTCATACCAACTACTATAATTTTAATGGGGTGTAAACTAAGACACAGCCCTCACACAAGAACAACAGTTATTAAGAGGTAAACCCAAAGGTGGGGGTGGCCCACGCCTTTAGCCTCAGCACTCCAGAGGCAGGCGAATCTCTGTGAACTTGAAGCCAGCCTAGTCTACAGAGCCGAGTTCCAGGACAGCCAGAGATGTTAAACAGAGAAACCCTGTCTCAAAAAACAAACAACAAAAGGTTAAAACAAAATATTTTTCAACTGTCCAAGCTATTATTTGAGCTAATTTCATAAAGAGAAATGTAGCTTTATTATGACATCATGATTTTCAGGAAAGTAGTTTCTAGCAAACTGAAATTTCAGTATCATTAGGTATTAAAAACATGTGTGTGTGTGTGTATATATATATACACACACACACACACACACACACATACACACTTGCATTTTTCTGATGCACCAAGGAAGCCAATCGATGACAATGCATTAAAAGAATAAAAATGTGGATTCTTGCTAGGTATGGTGACCTGCACACATAGCCCCAGTAGAGGCTGAGGCAGAATCATCTTGCATTCAAGGCCAGCCTGAGCCACTTTTGTCTTAAATTTTTTTTTCACCATTTGATCATAATCAGGACTAAAATTTTAATTCCCTGGCTGCTAGCTAGAATGATTCCTCAATACTTAAGTTCTGATCTTGAGCACAAATGGCCAACTTCTAAAACCTAGATCTTTATCAGAAATTTGGAAATTAAGAATAGGAAGAGGCCAACATAACAGTTAAGTAGTGATGTAATTAAAGCCAAGGGACCAAGTTGCTAAGTTATAGAAAGCCACTGTTCATTTGGAAGTTAGCCCAGAACACAAAAATTTGGAGGAGAAATGCTGGCAGTTTAAACAGAACCAGGGTTCCAAATATGCTGCCTCATTCCTTTATCTGCAGAAGCTTCCTCCCATACCGTTTACCCAAATGGCTACAACCACCCTGGAGAATCCGGCAGGGCAACAAAGGTCTCAGGCAGGTGGAAAACCAGTATTAGGAAACACAAGAGAATATATTTGCTGCTACGATCAGGAATATTGTATTCATTAGGAAGACCAACGCAAGAGTACGTTGGAGATAACAAAGCATTTTTTAAACCTCTCAAAATTCTTCCTTTGACAAATCGCATTTTTTTCGCCAAAGACTCCGTTCCTTTAAGAACCACCACCTGCCAGCGGGCTTATTTTTCAAGAAGGCATCTGCACTGCAGCTCTCTGCACAGGGGAGCTTGCTTGTCAGCTCCCACCAGCAGGCAGACATGTATACAATAGAAACTAAAGGAGGCCGGCAGCGTCCCTCCCAGGCTTTTCACAGACAAGAGAAGGGGGTCCAACCAGCCCAGGCTTTGTCTGAGTTTTCTCCTCTGTTCCCTGCAGTAAACGTTCCCTTTTGCTATACTGCTATCGAGAATAGGCCATCGAAAACATGAAATCAAAACATGGTGATGGCTTGGCATCACTATTTATTATCTTCTAGAATATAGCAACTGATTGCGTGTCCCCACCCCCACGGTGCGCCTGGGAAGAGCCGGCTGTATTGCAGATGCAGCCAAGGATCCATCTTGGACTATCGGTAGCTCCCTCCCAAATCTTCCTGTGCTATTCTCTCATCACGCCTCCTCTACCTCAGATAAATCTGGCATTCAGTTTAGCCCAAAACAGTAATAGAACTTCCTGATCCCGGCAAACCAAAAAAAAAAAAAAAAAAATTTTTTTTTTGGAGGACTATCACCCATGTGAGAGCGTGTTAACACCTGTCTGCAAACCTGCAACGCCATCCCTTCCACCACCACTCAAAATCCTAACATCATTTCTCCTACGACCCACCTGTCACAATCCTCTGCAGCTAGCTAATCCTGCACTAAGTCAGCCCCCCCTCCCCGCCCCCCGCCCCGCGCCCCGTTCCACCCCAGGGCTCTCCGGCCTCCCGAACACGATCCGTTCGGTTCACCGAGCCTTTCTCCGTTTCCAGCCCACGACCGTGTCCTCACCTGCAGGGAGTCAGCATCAACGCCCACTCTCTAGACCACCTCCCCGCCCCCCAACCTGTTTCTTCACACCCCGTTATTTCCTCCCCGCGGCTCGGCCCTTCGCTCCCCTCCCCCTTTGCCTGTTCCTCAAATGCCCGCC